TGTTGGAGCTGTTCTTCCCCACTTGCTCTCGCTTTGGTTGGGAACTTTGTTTTCCAGGCTGAAAGCCAGGACGGAAAAGCACTGACAACAGCACTGGAGCCCAGCGTGGGCATCCCCCATCGGGATGCTTGCAGCAGTGTGGGACGGGGCTCTGTGTGTCCATGCCCGTGGCTTCTTCTACACCCTTGTGAGCATGACACCGTCATGCTTGGGGACAAGGGCCCTTCCCCATAAATTGCAGGTGGTGCTTTGGGACACGTCTGTCACTGTGGTGGCAGAGTCCTGCCCAGCCTTGTCGCTTGGGTCCTGGCTAAGGAAGCAGGAGGAGGTGGCCTGCAGTGCTGCACGTGTTTTGGTTTTCTTTGGGCTTCTGCAAGATTTCCAGGCACAAGTAAGGGCTGCCCAAGCGGCAGATGGGCAAGGCCCATAGGAATTAGGAGAAAATGCAGGCACAAAGGCCACAGCCATTCCTTCTCTTTTTCTCTGCCTCCGTTCAGGTTTTTCTCCCACAGATCCCCAGCTATCCTAAGGAAATGCTTGTTTTCACTGTGTTTGCCTTTTAGCTGTGCGCTGAATTTTGTCAGAAGATGTGAGAAAGGTCAAGTCAAACAATTAAGTGGTTATAAAGCGTCACTGCCTCAGCAGCGCCCAGACCCCCCCCGGCAAGCTCAGTAGTGCTCAGGGGTTTAAAACAACGATGTTGTAATACTCTCACCCTTTGTCTTTGCAGGGCTGTAGAAGAATGCTTCAACTACCCCAATAATTAAAAAAAAATGCCTGCTAGTTGTTTGGTCTTCAAGTGTTCCTGCTGGTTCCCAGTAGTTAACACAGGAAATGTCGCAGGAACCAAGGGAGAGACTGGTTGAGAGAAGCAGAATAAATTAGGATCATTATTTCACCGTGATCCATGCTGGGGTTGGTACCAGAGGTACCGGAGTTGGGGGGGTCGGGCTCAGATGTGTCCGAAAAGCCGTGTCTTGGCTCTAAACCCCGCTGCTCGCTGCAGTGGTACCTGGGAGGTGGGACCACCAAGGAGGTTGGGCGGAGGAAGGAGCGGGCTCCTATGTCAGGAGGCAGTGGGGCCCGGGTGGTGCATGGCATGCTGCTGGCAGCCCACAATGGGCTGCTGCTGACCTGATGGTCATGTCATCTACCTCGGTTCAGAGGAGGCTTTGGCCTCGGTGGAGCCACCTGCTCAGCAAGCAAGACCCTCGCTTCATCCCTACGCAAAGCGTGCCTTTTCCTTCTTTTGACTGCTTTCCGGGCTCAGTTCTTAAAAGGTAAATTTCTAGATGTTTTTTAAACAGTCTCCTTTTATTTCCCCCGCCTCACAGCCCAAATATCCTCAAACAGCTTGCTTCCCATGCAGAGGCCTTTGCTTGTGTTCTCACCCTGTGTAAAGCTACGGAGCTTCCTGAAAGGTCCTGCACAGCTCATGCCACTTGAGGGCAGTGGTTGCATGCCCAGAGCCTGGTTGCTCTCTATGGAGAAAAGAACTCCTAAACCAACAAAGTCTCACCGTAGGTGCCATCACTTAGACCGTTTTTATTAAGTCAGATACTCCCAAATTCAGAGATATAGTCTGATACGCCAGGCATCACAGGATGCTTAACAAACGCAAGGCATTAAAGGAGGTATTAAAAAAAGACCAACCAAACATATACAAGTTAGCAGGCTTCCTGTTGAAGCTCGAAATGAGCTGTGCTGTGGACTTTTTTTTTTTTTTTTTTAAGACACCAAAGGAGTCAGTGCTTCATGCTTTCATAACACAGCTTCATAATTCCACTGGATAGATAAGAAATGGCTCACATGCCCCTCTCAGTGGTGGGGAGCTGAGGTCCAGTTTTCCAGTCTGCAGTTGGGATTGTAATTTCTTCTGTCTTTTTACAGAATTTAACGTAACTTGAGCTCAGCCCAGTTGTTACCCAAAGGCCATACGTCAGCAAACATGCACGGTAAGAGCAGTGGTGACTTCGTTTGTGCCAGATTTCCCACTATGTTGGCCTACAATCTGGTTCCCATATTTTGCTCAGGTGAGGTTTTCTCACTGTATGTTTATGTGCTTGGCTAACCAATTTGCCCATTTCTGTGTGCTTTTGAGGCAATTTTCACACCACAGCCCTGCCACATGGCCAGCACTGTGCTGGAGTGGCTGTCGGGGAGGTTGAAGAGGGAGGACCTCTGCAGGGACAATCAGGACTTGCCACAACTTGTATCAGTTGTACCCACACCACAGTTTTGGTCCTATCCGTGTTTTCTCACGACGGCCATCATGTGAGGATGCAGCCCACTTAAATGGGATGCCCTCCAATTAAAATCTAGGTCTGGTCTGCCCCGTCACAGGACAAGTTGTGTGTTTGGGGTGGTGGATAGATCTGCTTATATCTGAGTCTGCTGCGATAGGGTCAGAAACAAGAACAAATTGAACGGGCTCGTCTGGAGATGCAAACCACTCACTACCTGGTGTGAAGCAGTCTGGCCACAAGCTGCCATGTACCATTGGCCAGGGCTGATGGACACACTCCTCTCTTCTCACCGGTGTTGGGTGCCATCATGTTGCTGTGCCAGCTCCATTTTGGGGGTGGCTACCTGGCGTGTCATGGGGAAGGGGCGCATCTGGAGCGGGACAGGGCAAGGGGGGCTGGAGAAGCTCCCCTGGCTCTGCATGGTCCTGCTGGCTCCCCGCAGCAAGGTGGAAAACCCTGCCATGACACCAGCAGCACACTCTGGAGGCCTCCCACAGCTGCTGGGATGTGCCAGAGATGGGTGGCCGTGCAATCTGCTATTCACTGCCCGGCTGTGTCTGCTGTGGCATCCCAGCACAGTCGGGGGTCCCATCCTGGCGCCCTGCAGCAGGATGGCTGGGACCGCGTCCCCCTGCCTTCCCGGTGGCAGCCATGCCCTGTCCCCCACCGCCGGGCCTTCGCTGGCTCCCTGCCCCGGCAGTGCTACTCTCTTAGCGGCCCTGAGCACAGACAGGAGCCAAAGTTGTTTATATTTATTCAAATCCCATTTAGCATCCATCAGGCTTAAAAATCCCATGACTACCCTCTTATACAATTTTGTTTGATAGGAAAATAATTAATTTTGCAATTAAGCTGTGCCCAGAACAAATGATGTAAGAGCACTCCGTATGGGCTAAATTAGCGCCTGCTGAGACACAGCGCCAGCATCTGTCTGGTTTAGTGACACTTATTTTAAACAGCCAGAGGAGGGGATAGTGCACCCTCCTGTGATTTTACTGACGGCTTCGCCTCAGCCACAGACCAGGAGGGGACTCCAGCTGGAGCACGGTCCGGTCGGTCAGCAGTGAAAAATGAGCTTACTCCAGTGCCTCTTCTCTGCTTCAGGGAAGCTGTTTTAAATTTGAGCTTGCTGGCCAGGTGGGCATTGCTTATGCCATGAGCGGTGTGGGCAGCT